CTTTCCCAACAGGTGGCCGTCATTTTGTTTTCATTTCCTAGCACCGCTGTGCAGACCAGGAAATAGACCGTCTTGTATCCCACCCTTATCTTAACAAAACAGTTTTTCATGTCAGATAATAATAATAATAATATTATTATTATTATTATTATTATTATTAACAAAATAGTAATAATAATAATTAAAATATTTAAATAGGGAGCCCACTTCACTATAAGGTGCTTTTCAGTGGGCGGCTTTGCATAGATAAATATTAAGAGTAAAAGCAAACGTTATATTTAAAGTTTAAAAGCTATAGGCCAACAACGGATAAAACGTTGTAAATATGGTCAGAGAATATTTCTCGCATAGCTAAGTCTCAAAGGATGCACCATTTTTTCGATCGGGCGTGGGACACAATGTACAATGTAAAAGGCAACCTATGTCTTCCTCTTCTCAGATAAGTGCACGCTTTCACTCTCTTCTAAATTGTTTTTCTACCAGTTTGTAAGCTATCCGCTTTGCTTTCCTAGCTTGCCACGTTATAGTTAAAGCATAAGAGTGATAACCATTCCGTTTAAAGTTTCCAAGTGCTCAGTGCTAAAAAGAAATTGTTATTGAATATTTAATTTGCTGAAAGTTTCAGAGTTATCCAACATTTTCTGTTCTTGAATTAAAAGCTGAAGCGTTCATCAGGTTGCCGTCATTTTTCTTTGTTCTAAAAAGCGAAACCTTTCACAGCGTTCTTTGCTTCGCGTGTTGCAGTCATTGTAGAAGTTGTATCACTGCGCCACGGTCATATCGTCCAAACAACTAATTCAGTCACTTAGCATTAATTGAAAGAAGTCATATGAAAAGGTTAATCTACAAAGTACAGGCGGAGTAAGATTTTCTAAAGACAATGAATGAATTTTTGCAATTCAGTGTAGTAGATATTTTAATTGTTTGCCTCAAGCTGCCCTCAAGATCGATTCCTCCATCTGAGTGTACGCTGATGAGCTACAACACTATCCTTTGGTTGCTGAATTTCAGAAAGTTGACTGAGATTTGTGTGAGGTAAGACTCAGAGAAAAGAGCGGAGAAAAGGAGAATATTGATATATCGAGCTTGGCCTATTTTGTAGCAACTGGTCATGTACGATGCACGCGGCAATACCCCGTGTTTGTTCACGCTGTGCACTGAGATGCTGGACCGATGAATCAGTTCTGACCTGCCCNGACATAGTTACCTTGGAAACGAGTGCCCTACATTGTAAAAAGCATCACCTTCGTTTTATTTTAACGCAGTCTGTAAGTGACGACAGCATTCAAGTAAAGAGAAACAGTTGCCTTTTCCCCGTTCCCTTCTTCCGTGCTCTTGTCACTTCCTTGTGTGCTTGTTCAGCGTGCTTTACGGATTAGCGGGGTAGGCTAGATCAAGACCTTTTAACCTAATTGTGAACTACCATACTCGCGCCTGGTGATACTTTAAGAGGTAAAATTAATTGATCATACTCCTTTTGTTAATCTTGTAGTTTATTTTTCTTGTTAGTGATTCACTCACAAGTTTCAGGTACTAAAATCTTCACCAATTTTGCACCAATTAGATACAAGACCAACAACAATGGTGAGATCGCCTCAAGACTGCCGGCAGCCCCTTCTTCGTGAACGTCGAGGCTGAAGGACAAACAGGGACTGGCAGCAGTCTCACAGTTATGATTTCAGGATAGTTCACTTTGTTCTCAGTTTATACAAAACACTGCGTAAGGTCTCTTGGTCTACCACCATAAATGAACAATGTTCCTGTCGTTGCTAAACTCTGACCATTTCAGACGTTTTTATCCGTTTACAAGTAAGCGTTCTCCATACGAAGATGACAAGCATTGCGTTACAACTTCGACCACGAAGGCCATGGAATTCTTTGTATAAATCTAAATGTGTTCAACTCCAGCGCCGTAAACTGACTTGAGATCAATAAAATCTTTCCATTTTAATCTTTGACGTTTATAAAATATTTAAAATATTTTCCGTACTGATTCACTCTGTAAAGAACTCCATCGACTAATTTTAATTGTTTTCTTCGTTTCGGTCTTTTGTCTGGTATTTTATCTTCTTCCTCGTCGCTGTCCTCGTCTTCATTGCTCACTTCAGTTTCCCATGGTTCCGTTTTCTGGTAAAAGAAAAAGGCGAATTCATTGGTACAGATGATCGAAAAAAGCGGGCAGACGAAAGCAAAACGAGCG